TTGTTGTTGTTGGCATTAGTGAGTTTTGATTGATTTGCTTTCATCTTGCTTCTTCAGGCTGCTTCTGGCTCCCTTCATAAGGACAAACCATTGCCAATACCTCCTACACTTCGCGATCTCCCACCACCGCCCCCTCCAGACCGTCCATATTCTGTTGGAGCAGAAACCCGGCCTCAGAGACGCCCCCTGCCTTGTACACCAGGAGATTGTCCATCCAGGGACAAACTGCCCCCTGTCCCCTCTAGCCGTCTTGGGGACTCATGGCTGTCCCGACCAATCCCCAAAGTACCAGTAGCTACTCCAAGTCCTAGTGACCCCTGGACTGGAAGAGAATTAACCAACCGGCACTCACTTCCATTTTCATTGCCCTCACAAGTAGAACCTAGAGCAGATGTGTCTAGGCTTGGAAGCACATTTAGTCTGGATACTTCCATGGTGAGTCCTAATTTCGAAATTATTTAGCCTATTAACTAATGTTTGTGGGTGGCATTTTATGGATTAAAGGTTTGTTTTGGTCTTGAGACAGGGTCTTCTATAGCCCAGGCTTGCCTCAAACCCCCTATCTTCCTCCACAGCCTCCTGAATAGCTAGAATTACAAGTGTGTGCCACTGTGCCTAGCTATGGGTCAAAGTTTTGATAGGTTTTCTACAGAATTCATAAATAATATAATGCCTTAACCCTCAAGAAGTACATTTGTTTATGAGGGTAAATAAGGCAGTTTATAGCTATAACACTGAACGTCCTTTACAGACGCCATGTGCAATATGACTAGAAAACTCTCAAGTTTTTGAGAAAGGAGAGGCCCTTTCTAGGTAGAGCAATCATAAGGGCTTTGTGGAAAAAGGCATATCTGAATCTGAAGTGTTCTTTGGAAAGTAGATAAGAGTGAGGTTTTTTTGGTTCATTTTGTTTTACAGATAAATACATAAGATGTTATAAGAATACACAAGATTTGTTACATACCTAAGGCACAGGAGTGTTAGAGTCTGGTGCAGTTTTAAGATAGATTAGAGCCACAATGACAGAATGCTTAAGGTATATTATGGGATGATGGGCAGAGCAGAAATTTTGTGTAACAGAGCAAGACAAAGGAACATTGACATTAGATTACAGAACCGTAAATCCCCCCACCAAAAGAATTTGCATTAATTTGATAAGAAATGAGGAGCAACATTTTAAAAACTAGTAAAGTAATATGACCAGAATAATGGCTTATAGAGATTAATCTAGTAGTAATAATGCAGGATAGATTTGGAAGAGTATAGATTAAAAAAAAGTTATGGTCCTTTGTCAAAGCATGTAATGAGGGGTTCAGAACTAGGTGGTGGGGGAAGAATATTTATTTTTTTGCAGGCTTATTTGTGCACTCAACAAATAAGCTTGTCTTTATAAAGTTTATATTCTAATGGAGGAAGATAGAAAATAAATAGAATGTTCACATTGGTAGTACAGTGGAGAAAAACAACTCAAAGAAGTGTATGGGAGCCAGGTGTCAGTGGCTCACACCTAGCTACTTGGGAGGCTGAAATTGGAGGGGGAGGGTGGAAATCAAGGTTCAAGGCCAGCCTGGGCAAATAGTGTGAGACCCCCATCTCTAAAATTACCATAGCAAAATGGACTGGAGAAGTAGCTCAAGCAGTAGAGTGTCTGCTTTGCAAGCTCAGAGCCCTGAGTTTAAACCCCAGAAGTCAAATCCCAGTCTCTTTTCTCCCCCCAGTGCCCCCTCAAAAAAAAAAATCAAGGAAGGGTATGGGGAGAGCTGGAGTTGGAGTGAGCATTACTAAAAGGGATGGAGTATAAGTCAACCAAGACTCTGAAACAGTAGGTTCAGTGAGTTGTGTGGATCCTAGGGGAAGAGCATTCCAGGATAAAGGGAAAAGAAATTTGGGAGAGGGTCTGTTTGACAAATAACAAAGGGATGTGGAGTAGCTGTTGTCAAGTGAGCAAGTGGGAGAGTCACTGTCTCTGAGCAGAACGAGGCAGTCAGGTTAGGTGAAGCCTTTAGAGAGCATGAAACAGAATTGTAAAGGCTCGGAAGCTCTCAGTGGGTGAGGAAACATCTCTTAAATGCACACACGAAAATTGGGGTTGTAAACTTGGCTAACTAGGGACATGTTGAATTTGAGATGAGCCTTTGATGGAAGAATTGATGAGTAGAACTTTAATGAGGAGATGGAACAGGAAGGGTACAGTTGAGGAATATGATGGTAATGACAGTGAGGTCTGTGTCTATGTTAGTATTGTGATTTTGGATGAGTTCTGTAAGACGAAAGTTCTTTTCAACACTTTACTTTCCAGAACATGAATAGCAGTCCATTAACAGGTCCAGAATGTGAGCACTCCAAAATCAAACCTTCCTCATCTGCCAATGCCATTTATTCTCTGGCTGCCAGGTAAGTATACTAAAGTTATATTTCATTCCGTGGAGTTGGCCCTTTTTTGCTAAGACAAGTCTTATTTATTACGTAGACTGGGCTGGCTTCAAACTCATGATCCTCCTGCTTCAGCCTTTCCTGAGTCTGGGATAACAGCATATAGTCATCACATCCAATTGGTTTGTATAAAACAGTTGATTTATAGAAAATTTGGAAAACAGAGAAAAGAATAAAGAAGAAAACAAAAAAATGGTGCTAGCGGCTTACACCTGTAATCCTAATTATTTAGGAGGCAGAAATCAGGAGGATCATGGTTTGAAGGCAGCCCAGGCAAATAGTTCACAAGACCCTATCAGAAAAACCCAACACAAAAATAGGGTTGGCAGCTTAAGTGGTAGCTCACCTGCTTAGCAGATACGAAGCCCTGAGTTTGAACCCTAGTATCACCAAAAAAAAAAAAAGAAACGAAGAAAACAAAAATCTATATTTGTACCATGTAGAAATAATTATTTCATGTCTTGGAATATTTCCTTCCATTCTTTTTCTGTGTGTATCTATATAAATCAGTCTTACTGAGGCTTGTCAGTTTTATTAATCTTTTTAAAGAAGCAATTTTGACTTGTTGATTTAAACAAATATGGCAGTCCTATTTTTGTTTTGTTTTTGTGGTGCTGGAGTTTATACTCAGGGCCTGGGTCTTGTCTATATCCAGGCTGGCTATCCCCCTATTTATGCTTCCCTTGTAGCTGGGATGATACACAAGCACCACTATGTTCTGGTATTCGTTGAGATGGAGTCTCAAAAATTTTTTGCCTGGGACAGCCTCGAACCTTGATCCTCCTAATCTCCCTCCTGAGTAGCAAGGATTACAGATTTGAGATGCCATGTCCAACAGTATGGGGAGTTGAACTCGGACATTTGGACTAGTTTGTCAGGTGCTGTACCTCTTGAGCCATGCTCCCAGCCTTTTTTTGCTTTAGTTTTTAGATAGGCTCTTCAGTTTTTGCCTGGGCTGGCCTCTTCTGACCCTCCCATAGTCCCTTAGGTCCCTTAGCGGGACCACAGGCTTGCACTGTCACAACAGGCTTCTTTGTTGAGATGGTGGTCTCACTAACTCTACCAGGGCTGGCTTTGAACCATGGTCCTCTGCCTCCTAAGTAGCTAGATTTAGAAGAGTGAGCCACACCTTGGTATCTGCTTTCCATTTCATTGCTTCCTGCTCTTTTTCTTCCAGTTTTCTTTAAGCTTAATTTGGTGTTTTTATAGCATCATGAGACAGATGTTATGTTGATCTGCACACAGACTAGGTGGTTTAAACAGTGGAAATTTAGTTTCTCACAGTTCTATTGGCTGGAAGTCTGGGATCCGGGTACCAGCAATGTTAGTTTCTGGCGAGGGCCCTCCCTTGTGTGTGGATGGCTGCCTTCTCTGTCCTTCCTCAGTGCAGAGTCTCTTTTTATAAGGATACTAATCCTATCAGATCAGGGTCCCATCCTTATGACCTCATCCAACCTTAACTTAATATCTCCTTAGTGGTTCCATCTCTACTGTAATCAAATTGGGGGTGAAGGCTTCAGCATGGATTTGGGGTCAGGGGGCACAAGCATTCAGTTGGTAGCAAATGTTTAGGTGGGGCTGGCAGAGTGTCTCAAGTGGTAGAGTACCTGCCTTGTAAGTGTAAGGCCCTGAGTTAAACCCTCAGTACCACTAAAAAAGACTCCAGATATTTAACTGTATGCCACAGATTTTAATATATCATATTTATATTATCATTCAGTTTAAAATACTTGGTGTTTCCATGTGTAATTGTGTTGACTTGTGAGTTATTTATGTGTTGCCTGATTTTCAGTCTTCTAAAGAGTTTTCAAAACCCCTAAGATGAGACTTACCTACATTGTTTCTTGGATACTGGCCTCTTTAAGTCCTGGGTGTCTGGTTGCTTTCTAGTGCCTTCCTTCCTTAAATAGCATATATTGCCAAAATGCTTTGTGATTAAGAGATGTGTGTGTGTGTGTTTTCAGTACTAGGGTTTGAACTCTGGGTCTACACCTTGAGCAACTCCACCAACCCTTTCTTTGTGATGGGTTTTTTCGAGGTAAGGTCTCATGGACTATTTCCCCGGGCTGACTTCGAACCATGATCCTCCTGGTCTCTGTCTCCTGAGTAGCTAGGGTTACAGGCATGAGCCACCAGTGCCTGGCTTATAATTGAGTGTTTTTAAGGTCTTTTTTTTGTAATCCTTGCCAGCCTCAAACTTGGTACCTTCCTACCTCAGCCTCTCCAGTATCACAAGTTTGTGCCTCCTTTGCCCTTTTGAGATCAAACCCAAAGCCTCAAGCATGCTAGGCAAGTGCTCTACCACTGAACTATATTTCCAGCCTTAAAATTTTTTGGAGAAAAAATTTCCAGCAGGCACTGTATCACATGAACCACACCTCCAGTTTTACTCTAGTTATTTTGGAGATTGAGGTCTGAAACAGTTTGCCCAGGCTGGCCTTGCCCTGTGATCCTCCCGATTTTAGCCTCCCAGGTAGATAGGATTATGGTGTGAGGCACCAGCTCCCAGCTGTGATTTTTCAATAATAAAAGTAATATATAGAGCTGGGCATGGTAGTATACCCGTAATCCCAGCACTCTGAAGACTAAGGCAGGAGGATCTAGAATTTGAGGCCAGCCTGAGCTATATAGTAAAACCCTGTCTTAAGAAAACAAAAGACAAAAAAGTAATATGTAAACATAAGGAAAAAAATCTCAAGTGATATTATAGGGGACTGTCATGTTCTTCGTTCAGTTTCTGTCACACTTGTTTTATAATAAACATGCATTGCTTTTATGAGCAGAAAAACTAATCATTAAATACATAGAGACAGATAAATGCCAATACTACTTGTAGAACATTCAGAATATACAAAAGTAGCTGGGCATTGGTGGCTCATGCCTGTAAATCTGGCTACTTAGGAAGCAGAGATCAGGAGGATCATAATTCAAAGCCAGCCTGGGCAAACAGTTCTGGAGACCCTGTCAGAAAAACACATCACCAAAAAGGTCTGACAGAGTTGCTCAAGGTGTAAGCCCTGAGCTCAGACTCCAGTACCGCAAAAAAAAAAAAAAAAAGAAAAAGAAATACACACACATATAGTGTAAAGAGGATGGGAGGAGAAACATCCATAAGTTCATACTCCATGTAGCAGTTTTGGATGTCTGTGTTTCTTATAGGGCTGGTTATTTTGTTTTTGTCTACTCTTATAAGGTGGTGTAGCGGGTATTTTGTTTCTAAAGCTTCTGGGTGAGAGTTACATATATAAGTATGATGGCAAGATCCCTGAAGCAGGAGCCAGTGGGGAAGAGGGGTAGCTCAGTAAAAGACAACTTGCCTAGCATGTATGAGATCCTGTGTTTGACCCCCAACATTACCCTCCCCCATACAAAAATCCTCAAAGTCAGAGTCAAAACAGTGGGACAGAATTGATAGTACTACCTAGTTACTTTTTATCTTGTTATTTTAGCTTTTTCTTGTGGAAAATACTGAGAAAAAACGTTTATACCCAGGCACTGGTGGCTCAAGCTATAAACCTTAACTTCTTGGGAGGTTGAGATCGGGAGGATTTAGGTTCGAGGCCAGCCTAGGCGAATAGTTAGAGACCGTATCTCTAAAATAACCAGAGCAAAAAGGACTGGAGGTGTAGCTCAAATGAGAGAGTATCTGCTTTGCAAGCATGAATCCCTGAGTTCAAATCCCAGTCATGCCCAGAAAGAAAAAGTGTCTATACCCAAAGGTAATATCTGAGAAAGCTGTTTTTTGTTTGTTTGTTTGTTTTTGAAGTACTTGGGGTTTGAACTGAGGGCCTTCACCTTGACCCACTCCACCAGCTCTTTTGTGAAGGGTTATTCTGAGATAGGGTCTCTTGAACCATTTGCCTGGGCTGGCCTCAAATCTCAGTTCTCCTGATCTCTGCCACCTGAGTAGCTGGAATTACAGCCGTGAGCCACTGGCACCCGGCTCTGAGAAATCTTTTGACAAACTATGTATTATTTGACATCATAAGTTTCAGAATTGGAATTTGCTGTGCATTTCTAACATACTGTCAGAAAGCTACCTGCTGTTTCTTGTTTCATACCTGGTGGGAAAAAAAAGAGTACTAGCTCTCAACTGGGATGCTATAATGAACTTATTTGGAAGTTGGGATTAATTAGAACCAGGTACCCATCCCTGTATAGTAGCCACACCTTTGGTCAACTGAAAGTGGAATTTGTAGTTGGTGTGCTGCTTCCTAATTACTTGCCATGGTCCGTAGAAATCCCTAGATGGCATGTGTTTTACTTTGTCATATTTGAATTATGTCTTTCTTACAGCTGACTATTTCATACAAGTTTTCTAGCTTGTTAATTCTTCTGTCATTTATTCTTCATTTTCCAGACCTCTTCCTGTGCCAAAACCGCTACCAGGGGAGCAAGGTGAGAGCGAAGAGGATACAGAGTATATGACTCCCTCCTCTAGACCTGTAGGGCTTCAGTCAGAGTTGAAACGGCCTTTGGAGATAACACAGAGTTCACGGTGAGTTCACAAGAATCCTGTTTGGGACCAAGTGTCTTTGTATGGATGATTCAATTGACATCCCTCATCTGCTTGGATGTACTGTTAGCCAATCAGAATTAAAACAAAGATAAATCTATTCCCTAATGTAGCTGCAAGCAGTTGCACTTATGCTTTCTCAGTGTGATAGTGACCTTCAGAACACACACATTTAACTTGCCACAGGAGGGCTGGCAGAGGGGCTCAAATTGTAGAGCACCTGCCTAGCAAGGTTGAAGCCCTGAGTTCAAACCCCAGTACTGCAAAAACAAAACAAAAAAATTTTGTCAATCTTATAATATTTATTAGTGATACTAGCACAAAGAGAATATGTTGTATTGAGAGAATCAGGGTCTAAGGTAGTTGTGAACAGGTAAGTCTTCTTAAGTTTGCAGACAACAGTTCTGTTCCAAAAATCATTGTACCTCTTTCCTTCTGGTTCAGAGCATGTGATTGTGACCAGCAGATTGATAGCTGTACATATGAAGCAATGTATAATATTCAGTCCCAGGCACCACCTGCCACCGAGAACAGCACCTTTGGTGAGTAGCTTCACTGCTTCTTAACAATTGATGTGTCAGTGATGATAGTGTATGCTTATAATCCCAGTACAAGGGAAGCTGAGGCAGTAGTATAGTGAGTTTGAGGCCAGTCTGGGCAACATAGTAAGACTCTGTTTAGAAAGAGAGAAAATTGTCTGGCACATTAGCACGAGCCTGCTAGTCCTAGCTACTTGGGAGGCTAAGGCAGGAGGATTGTTTGAGTCCAGGAGTTCTGGGCTGTAGTGCTCTATGCCATATGGGTGTCTGCACTAAGTTCTGCATCAATATGGTAGTGACCTCCTGGGGAGCAGGAGTCCACCAGGTTGAGGATGGAGGGGGGAACCTGCCCAGGTTAGAAACTGAGCAGTTCAAAACTCTCATGCTGATCAGTGTAGAATCAAACGTGTGAATAGCCACTATACTCCAGCTTGAGCAATACAGTGAGACCCCTATCCCTTTTTTTAAATAAGTAAGTAAATAAATAAATGGAGAGAAAATCATTGATGTGCCATAGGAATGAGCCTATATTTGGCTTAGATGGCTTGACCTAAGTACAAAATTATTTTCAGTACTCTTTGGCAAAATATCTTTGATTCATAGACAAGACAGTTTCCTCGTCTCTTTCATTTCCTCTTCACACAGCTAGTTCTTATGTGCTTTTTCATTCTCCCGGAGCCTAGAGTCATTTGTGTTATATGGCCTGGACCTGCAGTGCTGGTTGCTCTTTTATTCCCATTGCGTTGATGAAATTCTTTTTTGTGTGGGTGGTAAATATTCAACTTCCCATGTTAACTAGCTCATCAAGTTGAAAGTTCAAGAAGCCTGCATGCACAGGGCCTTTTGGCTGATTTTCTGAAGTGCAATGTAGTTAGAAGTCCTGAAACTGAATCAGTGGCTATTAACTTTGACCAGAGTAACTTTTGACATGTTCAACAATAGAGCTGCAGGATTGGTACAGATTTTATTTTCTATTTGTTTTGTCTCCATCCACAGGGCCTCACATGGTGTTTGGCCCACAGTAGACATTGAATAACTGTTGAGTAAAATGAATGATTGTATGCATTCATGAATGGGTGGGTGCCCCTACGATGAAATGTGTTACAAGATGAGGTATGTCACAGGCAAAGATGACTTTCCCAGCTTTTCTTCAGGTGAAGGGAATTTGGCTGCAGCCCACACCAACACTGGCCCTGAGGAATCAGAAAACGAGGATGATGGGTATGATGTTCCTAAGCCACCTGTGCCAGCTGTGCTGGCCCGCCGAACTCTGTCAGACATCTCTAATGCCAGCTCCTCCTTTGGCTGGTTATCTCTGGATGGTGATCCCACAAGTGAGTCTCCATGATGCTTTGGGTTTTTCCTATATTATGCCTGGCTTCTAATTTATACTGAAACACATGACCTCTTGCGACAGTCAGTCAGTAGCGGACTATATGATATATCTAAATGGGAGGAAAGCTGGTCCTAAGTCCCAAATGATGAAACAAACTATTGTCAAACTCTTGAGGTTTTTCCCCCCAGTCTTAGTAAAATAAAGTAGTCCTTAAACCATGGATCCTCCCGTGTTGGGGGTAATAAGGTAGGGTTTCTAGCTCTTTTGAGTATGTATGCCTTATGACTGGGAATTAAGCTTATGTTCAAACTGGGCCTTGGCTCCCTGAAAAGGAGATGTGCTGCCCTGAAACAAACACGGGCTGGGCCTAAGGCCAGCTTACATGGGGCCTTGACTATTGAGGGCTGCTCTTCTTGTATCTAGCCACCTTGAAGAGCAGCAACCAGAGTTGCTATTGCTTTGGAGATTGAAGACAACCTTCGGGACAGCTGGTAGAAAAAAATCTACAGCATCCAGTTGCCCAAATGGGCAGTGCTCACCACCCGACCTGGGTTAATGCTTCTTCATTCAATTTAGGCTTATTTTTGTCTTCTTATTTGTAGAAGGAGGAGTTTAAATTCTGGTCCCCTCAGATTTTTAAACAAAACAAACAAAAATCCAGATGATTTTGTGAAAACTTTTGCTAAATGTAACCCTTGATACAGATGTTACATGCTTATCATAGCAACAATTACTGTTAATAGAATAGGTGCACGGTATATTTAGAAAGTGGCTCCTCTTGTGAGGAGGAGGAGGAGGAGGCTAGACCCCTAAACCCTTAAACCTCTGAAACCCAGATTTCTGGCTAGTGATGTGCTTTCCTGACATATATGGAGTCCTGGGTTCAATTTCAGCACTGGCGGGGGTGAGAGGGGGTGGGGCAGGGGGAGAAAGAAGAAAGGAGAGGAAAGGGGAAAGAGAAGGGAAGGCAGGGAAAGGGAGAAGGAAGGAGAAAGGAGAGAAGGGAAGGGAAGGAAAAGAAAGGGGAAAGGAAAGGAAAAGAAAAGAATCCAGCTTTGTAGGCTGGGGGAGTGGCTCAAGTAGTAGAGCACCTGCCTAGCAACATAGGCCCTGAGTTCGCCCAGTACCATCAAGGAAAAAAAAAAAAAAAGATTAAAAAAAGAAAAGCCAGCCATGTGATAGAAGAGCACATGCCCCCAATTGGCAGGAATTCAATAATATCTTGATTTTAACACATTGTTATTAGTACTGTTGTTATTGTCATTAAATGAGAATTTCCCCAGATTTGCAAATATATTCTTTCCTACTTTTTTCTAGACTTCACTGAGGGTTCCCAGGTTCCTGAGCGGCCCCCCAAACCATTCCCTCGGAGAATCAACTCTGAACGAAAAGCGAGTAGCTGTCAGCAAGGTGGTGGTGCCACTGCTACCCCTGCCACTGCCCCCTCGCCACAGCTCTCCAGTGAGATTGAGAGCCTCATGAGTCAGGGCTACTCCTACCAGGACATTCAGAAAGCTTTGGTCATTGCCCACAACAACATTGAAATGGCCAAAAACATTCTCCGGGAATTTGTTTCTATTTCTTCTCCTGCCCACGTAGCCACCTAGCACATCTCTCCCTGCTATGGCTTCAGAGGACCCATGAGCTAGGCTCTTACTCAAGGAGCACTTGGAGAGCAGAGGCTTCTTAGGGGACTTCACAGTGAGGTCCTGCTGTCCCTATGGGTATCAGACCCATGGTTCCAAGATTTCAAAGCAGTGGAATGAGAATGGAGCAGCTAGTATTTTATTATTGTATGATCTTGAGAGTGCATTTGCAGTGTCCTCCAGTCCCCACTTGGAGAGAGTGGGCTTTTATTACATAGCAGCCTACCTGGGGAGCAGTCCCACAAGCAGCAAAACCAGTATTGTGCTGTAAACCCTCATTGAGGACTGGAGACTTTCCTGGGTTAGGGATGTGATCCATGTGTATGTGTGTCTGTCTGTCTGTCTCTGTTTGTGGTTGTGTGTGTCCTATGATTATAAGATTATCCTGCTGTGTGTGTTAATCCCAGGCAGGGAATTAGCACAAGAAGATCAGGAAGGAATATTTAAAGACTTCCATCTACTGTGGTATTGCACCTAACCCTTGTGTACATTACAACTTCTACACTCCCCTTTGGCTTAGATTATAATGTGCATAGCAAAAATCTTATTTTTAGAAACTCTCCCTCTGTCCTTTCCCCATCAACTCCTTCTTCCTTGGTATCTGTCATTGGCGGTGGGCTTGTTGTGACCAGCCTTACTGAAACCCAGCAGCCTATAGGATGTTCTTTATAATGTGTGATGGCGTTGGTTTGTTGGTAGAGATAAGTGAGAGGGAAAGTACTGTTGCTCTATCGCTACAGTCATGTTTGATACTAGCAGCTAACACTGGTCACTCCAAAGCGCTATTTCTATAAGAACATTACATTTAAGATATTTGAACTGTCCTAATTACATAATGACTGATTTAAGATAGAGGCCTTCAAATACATTCCGTGTCCTCCACAGGAAATAGCCTGTGGAAGTCTGTTGCCTTGATACCAGGTGTGTGTTCTGGTTTAGGTCATGAGTCTTTCTACTTAACAGGAAGGGAAGAACATAGTTTCCAGGATGACTTTCTGGCTTCAATACCATGAAGTTTTTAGGACACTTCATTGATATTCTATCTAAATTCACAAAATAGACAGTAAAGATCTGTTGGTTTTTCTTCTTGTGAATTAATTTTAGTTTATATGGTATCCCTTTTTGGAAGTGAGCCAGGTTAGATTTTTCAGAAGTGGTTTTTCTTTGTCCTTTAAGGAAATGGGAATGCCACCATGGTAGTAAAATATTTTGCTGATAATTAACACCTTTCCTACGTTGGTGCCACTCAGTGACTTCATTTTCTTTTGTGCCTCAAGCTTTGCAAATGGAATATCTCTTTCCTCCCTTCCTTCCCTTTTCTTAGGTCCCATATATGATTACTGTGCTCTGCACAGTAATTATTGAAATGGATTACTCTAGTAAAAAACAGTATGGGAAAAGGCCAGCAATTTGTATAATTGGAAGTTCATAAAGAAGATTCAGTGTCCAGTTTGGATACCTGCTTGTCAGTTTCTATAGCTTTTGCTAAGTTATCCCTTGGGTTCAGTCAGTTATCTGGCTAGAGTCTCCTGCTGACTTCACTAGCAGCATGTACCTTTCTCCTTTTCAGAAGCAAGCTGGCTCACCCATAAATCTGCCTTTCTCAGGATCTAAGTCATGCTTTTGTCTTTAGGTCCAGATAGAAATGATCCTCCTTAAATCAGCTTTCTGTCCAGTCTTGGCATCTTTGGAATTAAAACCTTCTCTTACTCTTCTCTTGGCATCTAGCTACTCCAAGATCTTTGGGGTTTATCCTCTTGCCTTAGAGCTATTTATATTTCCAAAGCAGACAGTAGAGAAACTTGTGTTGATGTACCATGGTTACCCAGTGTCTCCTCTGCATGGCAGGAAACAGCATAGCCCACAGCAGGTGCAAAAGGTCCTGTGTTTGGGGTATAGGAAGGCAGGGGAGAGTGTTAGTGTATAGAAACAGTATCCTACCATCTACTTCAAAACTGGTAACACTCAGTTTTGCATGTTGTTTAAATATTGAAGACCTAGACAAAGAACTAGGAAAAAATGGCAGTTTCCAGGCCTATCTGTGTTGTAATTTTTCTTTCTTGGAAGATACTACCCATCTATTAGAAAACAAAGCACTGGCTATATATCATTTGATTTTTCACTGTATCCAAATCTTCCATCGAGATTATTATTGCCCATTGTATCTAAGCTAAAGGCAGTTTCATCTTTTCCTTTCCTGAGCACCTGCGTGACTCTTTGAGTCAGCCCTGAACCTGGGGGTCTGAGTCCCTGTGTTGATTGTAAATCATTGATTGACTTGGGTGTTAACTTGTCTGGTGTCTGAGGGCATTTAAGGTTTGGGACCATTGCTTGAGGATGCACTGAGGGTGTGCCTACACCCATGCCAGAGATTGCCAGGAAGCCTTAGGAAGATTTCATGCAGTTCTTATTTTGAGGATAAGCTCAAAATTTGAATTTGTTAGCATTTTCCTTTGACTGAGGCACCAATCACCAAGTCTTCATCCTCCATTTTCATGACAATTTTTAGTTCTTTGGTTCTTCTTCTAAATTTAACTAAATTGCCCTTTTATAAGCAGGATTTATTTTGAGGTTCCCCCCCCTCACTTTATTTTTCTTTTTGCTAAACCAATGCCTTTTCCCCCTCCTAAATACAAATGGTTGATATAAAAACCACTTTAATGGTTTCCTTTTTCTCAAATTCATTAGATTGGTTTATTCAACTCAGTTTTCTACTTTTCTTGTGTCTTTTTGGAGAGCTTTATATTGCCTGCCTCATTGACAGTCTTGCAGTTTCCAGGACTGGACTTTCCCAGCTGTCCTTCCCACTCTCCTAAAATGAAAGGTTCTTAACGTGGTAAAAAAAAAAACCTGTGGGCTCTATAATCTACCTCCTTTTTTAGTTAAATAATAGACTAGGCAGCTTGTCATCTCAGCCTTTATCTTTTAGTATTTATTTAAACGGTGATCTCTACCTGTGACTGGCCATTCTCCTCCACTATCCCTATGTCCCCAACCCATCCTGCATATTCTGCCATTGTTCCAATCCCTTTCTCCTCTTAACACAGGGCCCACAGTGTAATAGTACTGTTAGTATCATTCAGCTGTTTTGTAGATTGTTTTTTTAAATGAGGGGTGAGATTGCTGTTCTTCAAACTTAAAATATGTTTCCTCTATAGGAAAGTAAAATTTGTTTTATAGTCCAAGCAGTAAACTTAGAAATTAATTTTGTAACAACTTGCTTACAAACTAGGGGCCAGGTGTATATTCCCTTTAAGGTACCATTAATACCTTCTAGTCTTTTTTGATGATCGGCAGTGGAATTAATGTGGAATGCTCTCCTACCTCACATCATGAAAATCAAAAGTTACTGGCCTTCCCAAAATTTCCTTCTTGCTATTTGCCTTCTTGACTTCTGGAATGACCACTGTCCACTGAATAACAGCATTCTGACCATTGGCCTGGCTATAGCAAGTTTGGTTGTTCATTAGCAGATGTGTTGAGTGCTTACTGTGTGCCAGAAATGTCAGCTATATGTTCTTCCCTGCCACCATGTGATAGTTCATTGGTGTTGGGAGATTGTGCTTGGGCTGTCTAGCACTTATATATTTGATGCTAAAATAGCTCTTCCCTGGGCTGGTAGAGTGGCTCAGGTAGTAGCAAGTGTAAGGTCCTGAGTTCAAGCCCCCATACTATTTTCCCCCTTCCCCAAAAAAGTAGGTCTTCCCAATACAATCGTACATTTTTTATTCACAGCTCTATACCTTTACTTACAGAGCTGTCCTGGTTAAAATGAGTGTAAGACTTTCCCATTGCCCTGTTTTCTTTTACAGCTTTCATAACGCCTGGAGATTCTGTGGTACATGTCTCATGAATACTCACTTTTGTTAACATACTTCAGTGGAATTTGTTTGCTGGGTTGAAAGGTATGTTGGCTCAAAATTGCACGACAGGGCATTAAATATTTAAGAAAGCATTTACCTACAGTCCCCCTTTCAATCTAGTGCCTTCCTTGATCTTTTTACCAAATTCCTTGTGTCCCTAATCCCTCTCTTTGGGAAGGTTTCCTTTTTACCGTTTTGGGGCCTGCCACTATCTCCCATTTACTATTTGGAGTTTGTTTTTCTGTCCTTCAACCTTTGTAACTCATTTTGTGTTAGAAAGACTGAATGGCTGAAGAGGGTTGGTCTTCTAAGAGCCAGTCAGGGATCAGACTGGATTCTATGAGTGCTCTCTCTGTCAGTCTTCCTCCCTTTCAGAGTGGGGAGCTTAGAGATTCCAGAGCTCAGTGTAAACACATCACCATTCTCCTAGACCTTAAAACTTCAAAATTCAACCTAAAGTATTCTAACTCTGCATAAAGCTTTGATCTCAGTCTGCACATGAGCTTTCTTTCTTAATACATAAGAGGACAGGGATTGCAGAAGCTCTCTTGGTTAGAGATCCTTTGGATAAAATAAATAATGTAAGCTAAAGAAAAGAGGAAGTTATTACAAGAGGTGCATGGTCTTTGATTTCACAGAACCCAGATAGGAAGTTTAGTTGGTTCTTAAATGGTGCTAGACTGGAAACCTTCACACTCAGTCCTTACTCCTACTTCACAGCCTGTTTGTATATATGGCCCCCAAATAGGCATGTGAACAGATTCCCAGTTTCTCTTGTTTCATATCAGGTGTCCATCCACCACCAGTCAGCCTTTCAGGGAAAAGTGAGAGGTGTGGCAGAGTCCTTGGTGAGAGCTGGGGCTTCTCAGAGAAGAGGATGTAGATTCAGTAGATAACGTTGAAAGGCCTCAATACTAGTAGCAAAGCTGCTATTTTCCTGACTTTTTGAGAGTGGAAAGACAGGTGTGAGAATGGTCATTAAGAAAATTCTTAGATTTAACATAATTCTGGACACTGTCATCGTTGTCCCCTCTTTATTTTTAATTTTCCTTCTCTTTAGGAGTCTTGGCGTCCAAGACTTTCCTCCCTCTTGAGGCTTAGCCTGTTCCTGGGTAGCGTTTCTCAGCCTCCATTCAACCTCAGGTCTTTAGCCTTTTTTGTATTATTTAGAGAGCAGATCACAGCTTCCACTGTGGCCACCCCTGGGCTTCTGGGTTGTGTTCAGGTTTTAGTACAGAATACATGTCCATCCTGTGGGCTCCTGATCTGTCTCCTGCAAACCCCCGCCCCCTCTACCCCCCTTCTCCTTTGTCCTCCTGTGGGAGGGAGCTCTGCAGTGATGTTCATAGGCATGCTTTCCTAGGCACCACTTAGAAACTGCTTTGCTGGAGCAAGGTGAGAATAGATCAGGAGACACTTACCAGGATATAAGTTAGAGATTGCAGTGTAGAATAGCTTTTACTGTAAAAACTTCAGACAGAATACCTGTATCTTCCCTGTCTGGTTGCTTTCTTTTTTAATCCTATGTTAAAGTGTTTATGGTTTTTTAAACTATGCTTCTGCTTGTCTGGATCTTTGGATCTTACTTATCCCATCTAGAACCTGTCTGAGTTGTAAGGGATTACTTACAGCTCTTTTAAACTGATAGAGGCATTTGGTGTACACAGGAGTAACCTTATAATCCAAAGATCTACATCAAGCCACATAGGAAGGGTGGCCGGCAGACCTGGTATTTGATAGTCTAATCTAGGCTCCTCAGTGAAGGAGCAGAAGGACAGTTGTGCTATGTGCCTTCACAGTGTCCCAGCAAATCTCAGTTGGTTCCAAGAGGAAGTATCAGTATTTCTTGGTTCCAGAAAGTAGCACAAGACTAAGAGATGGGGAAATAGGGACAGCCAGAGCGAGCCCTGCACATTCATTCAGCACCAGATGGAGAGTACTGTGTGGAAGGCCAGCTGCTGACCAGCAGCTGTTTGGAGATGTTACAGCCTCTGCCTTAGTACAGTGCTTAAGAAAAATGTGGCTGACCACTCCCTGTGTTTGTACAGAGCCATGGCTGAAAGCCTCAGATCCCCTACTGATCTGGCAGTCAAACAAATTAACAAAGTTCTGATCATCCAGCCCTGTATTCCTGATTCATCCCCACAGCTGAACTTGAGGCAAGCTTCCATATTGTCTTCTCACAGTTTACTTTCTTGAACCTGATGAGAAGCCAGAGAAGAGGGTTGCTCAGTACATGCTGTGCAGCTCCTCAGGCCTGGCAGCACCTCCCTGTGCAGGCCCTGGAGTTGGGTGGGGTGTGTTGGGTTCCTGTGTGTCACTTCCTTACCTCTGGCCCCGTGGTGGTGAGGGTGGCTCTGCAGTGGCTGTCTTGAAACTGGAGAGGTAGAGAACTACTGAGGAGTACCAACTCCATGCTCTTTCCTGACTGGGCCAGTGAGCCTGCGACAGGAGCTGTCTCCTGACCTCCCTCAGCACTCTTGGTGTCTTGGCCTTGTTTAAAGCTGACTGAATGCTGAGTGTGGCAGGGCAGGGCAGCTGTGAGGTACCTCCTACATCTGTTTTCTGGCTGTGGAGACTTTTAACCTTATATATCTTTTTCCTTTTTTCCTTTTATTCAAAACAAAACAATTTTTAGCACAGTGAAGAAAAAAAAAAAAAGCCAAATGTTTTGTGCCTTTCTAAGGCAGCACTGTATCCCAGGCTGCATTTTAGGACTTAATATGGAAATACCAGAGTCTGAGCTCCTCTACCTTGAGTATCCTTAGCCCTAGAATTATAGAGACAGTAAAGAGTCTCTGTGGCTGCAGCAGTGGCACACAGGTGCAGCATGTCTATGGTCTCCTTTCCGTCATTAGTCTTCATTGGAAAAGAACAGCATTGCATCCTGGGATAGGTTGGTTCCTATCAGCGGCTTAGTTATCAAACTGGATGCTTGTCTCCTGCAAGAGAAAGAATGTTCCAAAATGTCCAGGTACACTAGAGATCATTCCAAGTGCCCCAGCCACCTATTAACAGCCCTGCCATGTGGAGAAATGTGGGGTGGACTCCTGGGAGGAGAGGTAGTTCATTTATCTTTTCTTTTTTGCTGGACCCCGAGCCAGCCTCAACTTCCTGCCTTTCCTCAGACTTGGGTTCCTTTCATTTAAAGGCTTCAGACTTCATAAAGCATTAAATAGTACCTGCCCTGTACAGGGTCCGGTTTTCCCCCCAAAGGATGGGCAGTAAGGGACACAAAAAACGTTTTCCATAGGGTGTCATTGTACTTATCCCTTACTCTTTCCTTAGTTTTTTCCCTGCCTTTTTTAACTAATGAAGATTGGTAGGTAGATACAATTCTTTTCAAGATCCTCCTTATTGAAGATTTTGGAATTCTTGGCTTGGGCGGGGCTGGAGAGAACTTGATACTTGATGTTTTCTCCACAATGAAGAGTCCCAATTTGTATAACAGTGTTAAGAAAACAAAACAGACACTTAGATGAGATTTTTTGGGAACTATTTTAAAAATGTCGTTAATATAAAAAAGTTTATATTAGCAGTATTTAATCATTCTCACCTGTAAAGAATAAGAAACAGAAGGTAAATATTCTTACAGAGAGTAGCAGAGCTTTAAGATTCATTTTCATTTTAAGTCCATTTTGTTTTGCCAATGTATTAATATTTAGAGGTCTGTTATACTAATGTTATTTATTAATTTTTTCATTCCCATACAGTTAACTAAAGAGCTTTTTTCAAGCACCAATGTCTGTAAAAAAAATATTTT